CTTCAGGTCCTCCTCAGTTTCAGCAAGCAGGGTTGTGTCATCTGCATAACACAGATTGTTGATGAATCTTCCACCAATCCTGATGCCACATTTCTCCTCATACAGCCCAGCATCCCAGATAATCTGTTCTGCATACAAGTTGTTGAGAGCATCCCCAGCAAAAGAGTCACCAAGTCAACCCTTTTGACATAAGCAATGTTGTGACATTCTTCACGTGTGATCATTCTCAGTCACCTTCTCTATTCCTCTTTAATACAAACTCACTGCCCTTAAGGTTCCTATCTCATCTTTCAAGCTGCTATCAGGTTGATCCCCACAACCCTGCCCCATGGAGTCAACTCAGCAACCCAACAGTACAGGGTAAAGGTGCCTTGTGAGGTGCTCGAACCGTCACAGAAGCAGAATAACTCCTCCCTCTCTTACACAGTGGCTGGGAGAGGCAAACTACCAACCTTCTGCTCAGCAACCCAATGCCTAACCCACTGTGCCACCGAGGCCCCTTGAATCCCAAGGAGATCGTTCCGTTTATTGTTGTTGTTGCTACTGTTTAACCAGTTTGCCATCTAGATGGTTCTTGAAAGGACATACTACTCCAGACAATTATTTTTTTATTATTATTAAAATGGAATCCATTTTTTAAATTATTTTAAGATGATTCTAAGGGTGTTTGGGGTTTAAGAATTAAAGATTACCCCAGGGAATAGTTTCAGGAATTAAACCAAAAAGTCGATGTTGTTGCTGGTAAGTGCTGTTTGGTGAAGCATTCACTCACAGCGATCCTATGAACAATGGACCGGAACCCTGTCCTATCCAGTGTTATCCTAACCATCTCTGACATACTCAAGTCCACCATAATAGCTACTGCCAATCCATCTCATCGAGGAGCTTTCCAAGCATGAGGTCTTCCTCCAAGGACTGGTTCCTTCTAACAGCATGGCCAAAGTCTTCAAGACAAAGTTTCATTATCCTTTCCTCCAAGGAGCTCCCCGGCTGCACCTTTTTCCAAGGTCTATGAAATGGCTTGCCTCCAGAAACTCTGTGAACAGTGCTCAGGTCTTTCATTCATAGGGTCACTAGGAGTCATCTACGAATTGATGGCACTTAATAACAATAACAACAACAACATAGAGACAGCTATGTTGGCCTAGCAGACAGAAAGTTATGCTACCAAGCCCAAGGTGGGTGATTTTACTCTACGGCCCTCAGGTCTGGTTTAAATTGTTTTTTGTCAAACATTCTTCTAAGCACTATAGCACTAGTCTGTGAATTGCTATACAGAGGTAACTCGTGGTTGCTGTGATGCTAAACACTGTGACACTGATGTGTCAAATGTGACAATGGTCACCCATGGTGGACAGTGTTTAGTGGAGCTTCCTGATTAAAACAAGCTTGGAAACAGGATTGGCATCCACTTCCAAAATAGCTTGCCTCCGGAAACTCTATGAACAGTGCTCAGGTCTTTCATTCATAGGGTCACTATGAGTCGTTGACAACTCAATGGCACCTAACAACAACAATGACATGTTGTTGTTAGGTGCCATTGAGCCAAATATGATTCATAGTGGATCCTATGAACATCAGACCTGATCGCTCCCCTATCCTGTGCCATCCTCATCATCTATGACCCACTAGAGTCCATTGTTAGTGTCACTGCGTCAATTCACCTCCTTGAGGGTCTTTTCTTCTTCATTAACCACCATTTTTCCAAGCATGGTGTCTTTATGCAGAGATTGGCTCCCCCTAACAACATTCCCAAAGTATGTGAGATGAAGTTTTCCCATCCTTCCCTCCAAGAAGCATCCCAGCTACACTCTCACAAGCAAGACATATGTGCTTGCTTGTTCATTGTTTCTTCTTATGAATACAGTACTTGTCTGCAGTTTACTGTACTGAGGTAGCTTCCTATGATGTTTGAAGCTGTACCACCAATATTTTAATACCAATGGGTCACCCATGGTGGACAGGTTTCAGTGGCACTTCCAGATTAAGACAGACTAAGAAGGAGGATTGGCCATCCACTTCTGAAATAACTAGTCTCTGGTTGCATCATAAAAAGTCTATTCGAAGTCTACATAGTCCATGAAATTTTGAAAATCTGTTCTACATTTACCCTCTTTAGATCTATGGAATCTTTGATCAAAATGTTCATTAAGGACTGAATACCATCCACTCCTGCAGGTTTCATGGCAAAGACAGTTATTCATGGAGACAGATACCCACATATTCCATACACTCCTTCTATTTCTGACTCTCCTTCTTCCTCTGGGTCTACATGTGAATACAGACCAATTGTTGGGCCTTGAGTAGCCACTTGCAAGTATTTAAGACTCAGGGACTCACACAATGAACTAAGCTATAAAACAGAAGCGTCAAGGGAGCTCTGGTGGCCAAGTGGCAAGAAGCTGCACTGCCATCCTGAAGGCATGTGGTTTGAATCCACCAGATGCCCCGATGGAGAAGGAGGGACAATCTCCTCTTGTATCAGTAGGATCTGATTAGACGGTATGCATGAAATGAAATTTAATGAAAATAAAAATAAACAAACACAAACAGAAGCACCAAACATGTCATTACGCCAGTGAACCGGGATGTCCCAGGAAATCATGACACCCAACCTCCAAACCAGTCAAACATATCCCATGAGGGTTTGGGCATATATAAGCAACCTCAGCAGCTGCTTTCTTTCTCTCTTGTGTTCACTGTTGTCTTTATAAACCACATAGGTTTTGCAAATTCAATTCTTTGTTGATAACACTTAAAATAATCAGGTGTGCAAGTCCCTTAATAAATGTGATTTTTACTATGCAGCATGCAGGAGCAATGATTTTGAAAAATATTACATAAATTGGGAGGGACTGGAGTGTATTATGCTAAATAAACTAACTCAGTCCCATAAGAACAAATACTAGATAGCACTATTATTGTAG